AAGGAGAAGAAAGCAGAGCTCTTCGCGACTATCGTTTAAGGACCTGAAGGCAGACCCGACGGCAGACCCGACGGCAGACCTGACGGCAGACCCGACGGTAGACCTGACGGCAGACCCGACGGTAGACCTGATGGCGCATGCGGAGAGTTGTATTGATAACAACCAGCTCTGGAATACCAGAAACTTCCCGGCAGCAGGAGGAGCGGTCGCGGGGGAAGGAAGACCGATGGAAAGTGGAGCGTTGGGGGCTGGTCAAACTATGGATGACCGCGCACTTTTTGGCCAGATGTTATCCGACCAGACGTTATCCGACCAGCAGCGGTGTTTGGGAGAGCGGCAGTCCAGAGAGGTGCAGTCGGGAATTTTGAGTAACGGCTATTCTTCGTCATCATCAGAGGATGATGACGCACGTCAGAGCCGTCGAGACATGCCGGGGCCTGGTGATGATCAGATTTCGTCGTCGAGTGGTGGTCTGATAGTGGGAGGAAATTCTACGGGTTCCTCGTTGTCGTCATCTTCGTCTGCGGGGGCTCACCCCAGACGCAGTGCCTTGAAGGGTACGACAGCGGGTCCTCAGGTACTGAAGAAGCTTCGGTTTGCTGAGGACTTGAATCAGATCCATGAAATCCCGGCAACCGTTCTGGTTAGTCGAACCCCGATTGCTATGCCGACGAGCGCTGCGTTAAGCGCCGGTGTTGCAGCAGGTGTTGCGTCGGACACAGATGCTGCGCTGGAATCTTCATTTGGGGAGGAGCCGCCATCTTGGCTCTTGGGAGCGGCGGTTCGAAACCTGCCAGGTGCGAACGCGGTTACGGAGTACGAAATTATGGAGCCTCAAGACGTCCTCAAGGAACTGGGCGCCGGCACCTCTGGTCTAGGCATCCCTGGTCTGGACGCGGCCGGTGACGGTCTGAACGGGGAGAGTGAACAAGGTAAAGAAAACATCCAAAGCGGTGCAATGGCTGTGGAGCCTGTTGCGATGGAGTCCCCAGCAGGCGAGAAGCTCCACCATATTATGCAATTGGAGTGTCGCGAAGTGTCGAGCCCGGTCGGTGAGGCGGCTGTCGTGATAACGTCGGGTGGGTTCCATGACAGTTTAGAGGAGGCGTTTCGGATGTTCGAGGCGGAAATTCAGGAGAGCGAGCGGAAGCAGGACGGGGGTGCTATCGACCTCTACCAACGGCAACTGAATCACGCCATTCGGAAAACCACTGCCGTGGACGACCAAGACCTACACCTCTTGCGAGCCGCTGCAGTCGCCATGACAAACTCTTCGACCAGGCTTCCGGACCACGAAATGCACGCCGACCTCTCACCCGTCGATCTAGAGGCACTGGACCTCGAAATTTTGCACGACCAAAGCATCATTGGACCTTAATACGCACGCCAAGAAGCCGCTCCGCTATAGACAAACCCCTCTATTGGAACTATAGACTAGCCCCCTCTTGGACCACCTTAGGGACCACCCCAGGGGAAGGGGAGCACCTCAGGGGAGGGGCCTCGTAAGGTGAGGCATAGCTCAGTAACAAGTTTCGGCTTAGCGGTCTCGGGCTTAGCAGTACCAGTCCAGAACGCGTTTTAAACGTAGAATGGCGACATAGCCAGGCGCAGCGGGGAAACCAGTCAGCGGGGGAGACCAAGCAGCAAAGAGAGGGAGGGTGTCAGCGGGGGAGACCAAGCAGAGGGAGACCGGGGGAGTTTGGTTCACGGACTTTTTGTATTTCTGCCGTGGACTCAGCCAAGTACTTTCTTCTCGGTAATATCTACGTACGCAATTGAGTGACGTAGGGAGTGACGTAGGGAGTATACAATTCAGCGCGCCCGACGTACGTAATACAATTACTTGAGTATGTATATTTTGCCTGAGCGGAATTGCGTAGGTGAACGGGACGAGCTCATTTTTCGTGAGAATGAGTCTCGCTGGGTACTGTTACCAGTAGAGTACCCGAGCATGTTTAAGTTCTATAAGGCTTTGGAGAACCAATATTGGACTCCTGGTCCGCTACTTTGGGATCACCGGATTGTGCACAAGTCCATTGAAATGATGCCTTGTTTGTTGAACGTGATGTTAGACTACAACCTGTTTCAAGGCTATCCACAAAAGGTC